ACATGCAGCAAGGGCACACCACACCCTCACCTCTGCCCCCATCATGGCTTACTTCTTGGGATAGATCAACAGACTTTATTTGGATAGGACAGGGCCACTTAAGCACTAAACCAGTGTTACCAATGGTGTTTTGACACTTGTGGGTTACACTGCAATGAGATCTAGAGGTAAAAAACAATGACTTTTTTAAATCCTCCCTTACAGCCAATTGGTATCTTTCCCACATATGTTGTTGTAGCATCTCTTTATATAGAACCTAGTATTCAAGTAACAGGATGCTCTGGCTAAACAGGTCTCAACAAGCAAAACTGTGAGGCAGAGAAAGAGGGCATTTCCCCATCTTTTCTTTTTTTGCTCACCCTATTTTACTAAATCTTGTCAAAGATAGAAGAGCTCTGTGAAAACAGCATGGGCTTTGGAATTGGACAGACCTGAGGAGAAATCAATCCTAGCACAGCCTTTTTTATTCACTGTCTGACCTTGGGCAAGTTACGTAACTTCTATGACTTTCAGCTGCCCATGTGCAAAAATGATAATTTATTGGTTTGCATTATGGTAACTAAATAAGAAAATACATGAAAAGCATCTAATTAAATTCCTGGCTCTCCAGGGATGTAAGTTTGTTCTTCCTCATCCAGCACATCATGTACCTGGTGCCTCCATGTTACTCCCTGGCTGTCCAAGGTCAAAGTATGTGCCCCACACAAACCTTTCCTTCCTTTCCTAAACCCTATCAAAGTTCTCATCCCTTTGAAGAGCTGATCTAATCACGCTGCTAAAAGGAAAGCAATTCTGATGAAATAAGTTCAAGCAAAATGTGGATAATATTGCTGGGTTCCTATATTAACTGTGTGCGTGGGTAGGAGGAAAGATTCCATATTTAAAAGAGCCTGGAAATTCAAATGAAAGTTAGGACATCTAATGGTGAGGCTCTCTTAGAGGACAGGGGACCAATATATTGGTTTCTTTTCCTGAAAACACGGCCATATCACTCTATGCTGACATGAGAAACCATCAGAGCTACAGGACATCATCTAGAAATGCTGAACATCACACCTCAAATCAACAGGTCCAGAATAGATCTTGGGAGCCTTGGCTATCCCTTCTACTCTGGCCAGCAAACACCACTTCCTTAGCCAAGAAGTTAAGGCAGTGCTTTTTTTCCTATGAGGTTTCCAACACTATTTTAAACTCCTTGGAATCAAGCAGCAACAGGATTTGACTATGGTCATAGCCTTGAACAGCCTGTAGGAAGCCTGGGCTCTAGTTCCAGAATCACATCTTACTTCTATGAATGGTCCCAGCAAGGCCCAGGTTAATACAGGAGGCAGAGTGAACCTGCATCTTGACTTTTCTCAGTAATCCAGGAAGGAGGACTACAAGAAAATTTCTGGGCTTTCCACATACAGGATCTGGAAGCAGATTATTATGACTAAAATGGCCTAAGTAGCACAATGTGCTATGCTGACTATAAATCACAAGTCAGCATGTGAGTTCTCCTTAACAGTGTTCATGTTCTACTTGTTTTTCTTGGCAAGCTCCTAGGGAACCCAGGGCATTAACCCAGGCTGGGGTCTCAGGGGCCAGCCACCACTGCAGGGTAAAAGGGGCTAGCTGGCAGCTTCAGCAGATGGTGTTAAGAGGAAAGTGAAGTCCAAGGTGACGGAGGGACTGGTTCTGGGAAGGATTATCCAAGAGCATGTGTTTAGGGAACTAGCAAAGCAGAGACAATACAACAAATGTTTTAAATTATTTAGTATTTATCCAAGTAGTAACCATGGTAAAAACCAGAATTTTGCCGGATTTTCTTTATACTTTGCTGGATTTCCTTATACTTATTTTAATACTGTTCTTGTAATATATACTGGGGTCTGAAATATGAGGGACATCATAATCATTCTATAGTGCAGGCCTCTAAATTTCTCAATTTGGCCCTTGGCTTTAACAAGAAGCAAGAAAAACTAGGATTCCAAAGCTTCAAGGTCAATATTCATTTCTTCATTCAATAAACATTTCCTGAGGGGTTAGCTAGTAAGTGCCAAGTCTTTGCTCAGTCCTGGGATACAGTAGCAAACAAGATATGGTTTCTGAATTCCCAGAGCTCAGTCTAGTGAGAGGAGCTGACAATAAGAGCAGGATCCAAAGCAAAAGGTTATAGTGAAAAATAGACAAGATTCCAGAGCCAGTAACAGGATGCACGAAGAAACCTCTTCTGAGATGCCAGCAGAGACCATGGGCAAACAAGGAGCTATTCAGGCAGATGAGATGGATCAGATAATGTCCTTATCCCCACCACCCACAGTGGCAGGGGAGAGGGCCACTGTGGTGGTTTGTGCTATCAAGAAGGTGATCAGGGGAGCCACAGACAGTGCTACCATGAAGCAGTTCCTTCTCTGCTCACAGCCATAAACTGTGATATGTGCCACATGAGCTGTGTGTGAGATCCTAAAAGCTCCAAAGAAAAATAAGACTTCAGTTGTCTATTGACAAAAATTCTAAGAAATATAATGGGCCAGAAATCAGAAGTATAATTCAGTTGCCAGAAGAAGTTGGGTTACCCTCCCCCCTCAAATATCACCCACACTTCTCTGTCATTGCAAGGAAATGAAAAATAAAAGCCTGATTTCACCTGAAGGGTTAGAGCCAGGAAGAGACCTAGTGAAATGATCAGGCAATAGAAACCTCATGAGAAGTTTCTGCTTTAGGATGTGAAGTGAGCAAGGATGGGGAAAGGCTGTGCCTGCTGTTATAGAAAGAAGCTATTCCAACAGCTCAGCCCCAGCACTACCAGAAGTTGATGGCTGTGGTGAAGGTAGAGTAAGTGCCCAGCCAGCAGAGCAGTGGCCTAGAGAAATCTCCAAATATTTGAACCATTTCGGGCCTCCATTTCTTTACCTGAAAATGAAGATGATAATAAAAAGTGTATACTGGTTTCATAGGGCTGCTGTAACAAATTCTACACACTTGGCAGCTTTAAACAACAAATTTATTCTCTCACAGTTCTGAAGACTAAAAGTCCAAAATCAAGGTGTCAGCAGGGCTGTGCTCCCTCTGAAGGCTCTGGAGAAGAATTCCTCCTTGCCTCTTCCAGCTTCTGATGGTTGTCAGTCATCTTTCCCATTACTTGGTTTGTAGCAGCATAACTTCAATCTCTGCCTCCATCTTCATCTGGCCATCTTCCCTCTGTGTATGTCTCTCTCTTCTTCTAAGAACACCAGTCATTGGATTAGGACCCACCCTAACCCAGTATGACTTCAACTTAACTTGATTACATCTACAAAGACCCTATTTCCAAATAAAACGACATTCATAGGTTCTAGGAGGACACAAGTTTTTGGAGGGACACAATTCAACTCAGTACAGAGGACCTACTTCCTGAAGAGTATATATATTTGTAAGGTGTTTAGAACAGTTGCTGGCACATAATATATGCCATGTAAAAGTTAGCTACCTTCTTTATCATCTCTGGCAGATAGTAGCTGCCATGGGATATGTGGATGCTCTACTATACAAGAACCATCCTCCCTCTATCTTGAGTGAAAGGCAAGCAACTGGATAGGACTAGAGTTCCAAAAAGAGCTAATGAGGCCAGAACTAGAACACAATGAGTTTATTACTAACCAATACTTAACAATACCCCCAGGCTGGAGGAAAGATCTGCTACTGTCACTTCATTTGTTTCTTGAACAACACAGAGCTTATCATTCCAAACTAATAACAGACACTTCAAAACAATCCCCAAGTTATGATCCACTTAGGAGGACCCTCCAGAGCCAGTACAGAATTGCACCAATGAGCATAGCAGTCTCATCACCTAGAGTCAAGTTGTGAGTTCTGATCTCAAACTGCTTTACACAGCATATTCATCCCACAGCTTAGCAACAGAATGACTATTGATTGAGTTTGAAATGGATATTTGCTATCTCTAGGATATCCTACTTTCAAATTAGAAGAGGGGAGAACAGATTCCCCTGAAGAACCCTTCCTGATTCTTGCTCCTGCTCTTAATCCTTCTTCTTCAACAAATGGGTTTGGGAAACTACCCAACTAAAAAGAAATAGAGCCAGATCACAACTGCTGTCTTCCTATCAAAATAAATTCCAGGTGGATCAAAGACTTAAATTTAAAGATTTTAAAATACGCATATACACAAAGTACTCGAAGAGAATGGGTAACTATTTTTATAATTTTGAGGTAACAAAGCATGCCTTTTCTTTTTATTTATATTTTTATTTTTTTAATTCAATTTATTGGGGTGACATTGGTTAATAAAATTATATAGGTTTCAGGTGTACAATTCTATAATACATCTGTATAGTGTATTGTGAGTTCACCACCCAAAGTCTAGTCTCAGTCCATCATCATTTATCCTCCCTTTACCCTCTTCTACCGCCCCCCACCCCCATTTTCCCTCTGGTAATCGCCATACTGTTGTCTATATCATGAGTTTTTTTGTTTTGGGGTTTTTTGGTTTGTTTTTTTGCTTAATCCCTTCACCTATTTCACCCAGCCCCCGAATCCCTCCCCCCTGACAGATGTCAGTATGTTAAAGCGTGCCTTTTCTAAAGACTGGCCTAGAAGCAGAAAAAACTACAAAGATTATTTTGATTACCTAAAAATATAAAATTTGCAGGCAGGAAAAAAACTGCGTAAACAAAGATAAAAGACAAAAGACAAACTGCAAACAATTCTGCACCATACATAATAGTCAACACCTAAACTCTTATGAATTATTAGAAAAATATTACTGGGAAAATGTGCAAAGGACGTGAATAAGTGATCCAAAGGAAAAATATGTCCAAAATACATCTGAAAAGATGTTCAACCTTTAATATCCAAAGAAATGTAAATTAAATCATACTTATTGAGTGCTTCATCTCAGTTACTATTTCAGTTCATTTTACTTGAATTAACTGATTTATTCCCCCATGAAATAGGTACTATCATTATACCCACTTTACCAAAGATAAAACTGAGGGAAGAGAAGTTAAATGACTTACCCAAGGTCACACAGTAAGTGGCTGCGTCAGAAATCAAGCCCCCACAGGCTGGCTCCAGAGTCGCTTTCACAACTACTATGTTACAGTGATAAGACCATGTCTCACCTATCAGATGGGGAATATGAAAAATACACAACCCAGTGTTACTCATGATGTGGAGAAATTGGCAATCTCATGCACTGTTGGTAGAAGTTAACATTCTTAAGGGTAGTCTGGCTCCATGAATCAACATTTTAAATGTGCATTCCATTTCTTGGAATTTATCCTAAGGAGATAAACATACAAGTGTGCTAAAATTATATACCAGGTATTTATCACAAAATGTACCTAATAACAAAAATATTGCAAATTAAAAACCCAGTAAGTACACAAAAAGTCCAACAAATTCACTCATTCAACAAATATTTATTGAGCACCAATAGTGACCAGGTGTACAGTAGGAGAGAAAAAAGAAAAAAGTCCAGCCAATGTTTCTCAGTGGCTGAGCATCCACCAGGAACTAGAAGGTCACGGTTAGATTCCCAGTCAGGGCACATTGCCTGAGTTGCAGGCTCAATCCCCAGTAGGAGGCATGATTCTCTTTCATCGTTGATGTTTCCATCTCTCCCTTCCTCTCTCTGAAATCAATAAAAAGATATTAAAAATAATAATAAAAATCCCTGTCTTCATGGGGCTTACATTCTAATGGAGCATGTTAGACAATAAACAAATACACTTTTTAAATGTATATCAAGTGGTGTTAAATACTACAGAAAAAAAATAAAAGAAAGGAGATAGGAAAGGAAGGAGGCTTGTTACAATTTTAAGTAAAGGGGTCAGGAAAGACCCCATTGATAACAGATGAGATAACTAGATTAAATATTAGAGAATAAAATCCATTATGGTATAGCCACACACTGAAATATAATTCAACCACTTACTATGTATTAGTTAACATAAAAAGATGTCCATGATAAAAGGTTCTTACCACACACAAAAAGTAGGTAACTATGTATGGTGATGAATGTGGTTATTTTATATACATATAAAATCATCACATTGTACACTTTGAAATTACACAATGTTATATGTCAATTATATCTCAATAAAACTGGGGGGAAAGATGAAAAAGGATTACAAAACAGTATTAAAGAGGAAAAGAGCATTATGGTATGATTCCATTGTTATGAAATTACATATGTATACATGGTGATACCTTAAACGAGGGAGAGGAACAACACAGGAAAATGAAAGTACCAAGCAAGGGTCCAGGCTGAATGCCAGACAAGTGGTACAGGGGACATTTGTTTGTTCTCCCACCCACTCACTCATCCTCTTCCCCACACCTACACTTTGTTCCAGAAATGACTTAAGGACAGCAAATCCACATACCCCCAGTTCTTTAACTTTCCCCATTTACCCTCACCCTTTTTTCCCTCCTCTTCCCAGAAGCCAGACCAGTGATAGGATGAAAGGGATAAAAGCTTCAAGTCAAAGTAAGCTGAGGTGGCATAAGAAGGATGGAGGGAAAGCCGCCCATACTTGGATGGGATTCCTCTAATTTCAGAACAAGCTCAACATCCTGAGAGGCACACTTCCACCCTGAAGATCCGTAAGACTTAAAAGAAGGCTATCTGATTCAGAGTCCCTATTTCATCTCCTGCTTAACCCCAAATACCTTGCAGAGCAGCCAAGAGGGACATTCACAGGGAGGTGACAAGCACAGCAGGCCAGGGCTCTGCACCTAGCATGAGCGCCTGTATCACCCTATGAGCATGCCTGCACCTAACAAGCTATCCTGGCTACATAAAACTCATGCGCAACCCCGCACACCCACCACCTTGTCACAACTACCCTGGAGATTCACATACTTCTCCACTAAGATTCTCAAGACTGGGTCCCTACTAGGAAAGTTGCCTAAGATGACCAGACATGCTAGTATGTTTGGAACATTTTCAGTCTGGGGTGAGGTTTTTGTGGGAGATTACACTTCTCGCCTAAGCATAAAGCCACAAACAAGGAACTGGATGCTTCCCAAAGGTGAAATCCATGTTGCTGTTCCCTCTCTCTTTAGCCTAAGCATAGGAGCAGAGGCACAGGAGTAGAGGTAGGAGACCTAGAGAAAGATTTATCTGTTTGAAAATATTTCTCACGTACTCTCTGTCACCTCTTGGGCACCTACTTATATGTCGGGCCCTGTGTTAAGTGCTTTCATATACTAATACCAAAATGAAAAATCACTTATATCAAGCATTTCTACTATGTGTAAATTTAAGAAGCCTAAGGGACATACAGATCCAGTTGTCCTGCTGACAGATGAAAACCCAGGCTGGAAATTAGGAAGAGGCTAGAAACCTGAGATTCTCCTAAGGGCTCCAACACAGAAGTCTCATGACGCACTATCAGTCCACAGCTCTAAAGACCCCATGCCAGCTTCTGCTCTTTCCTGGGCTTTCACCAGGGAACATCACACACACACACACACCCTCCAACACACTTAGTCTGCAAGTGAAAGAAATTCTTCATTAGTGAAGAGTACAAGATGAGTCAGAGAAAAACCAAAAGCAATCATCTCTTCAGAACAGGAAACTCTTTTCTCTCTCTCTCTTATCTTCCTTAAAAATGTAGTTTCTGAGCAACTTCCATTATGCTCATGACTAGAGGATACAACATAAGACATGTCTCCTGCCTCTGAGAATTAATTCCATTTGGAAAGACAAAATCAACACACAGGAAACACATTATAAAAAGGGGGCCCCAAAATTTCTAGTGCATGGAACAGGAAGCACAGAGATGCTAGTAGCACAAAGGGGTGAGTAAAGTAAGGCAAACAGTGAGGTATCCTGACACACAAATATCTTCAATTTCAAAGTCAATCTCCCTTTTTTGTTTCATTCCTATAAAAGATGGGTTTCACTGCAAAAAAAAAAATCTCAAATACAAAAATCCAAGACATAAAGATGGGGATCATTCACTAGAAAAAAAGGGATCCTTCTCTTTGCTGTAAAGTTTAGAGAGCTACAATTTAATAACCCCACAACCCCTCTCCCTATTGCCACACACACACACACACACACACACACACACACGTTTATATTCAACACTGTAGAATCACATGTATAGGGTGAAGCAAAATCCTTTTTTTTTTTTTAAAGTATATCTTTGATTTCAGAGAGAGGAAAGGAGAGGGAGAGAGATAGAAACATCAATGATGAGAGACTCATTGGTCAGCTGCCTCCTGCACGCCCCCTACTGGGGATGGAGCCTGCAACCTGGTCATGTGCCCTGACTGGGAATTGAACCCCGATCGCCTGGATCCTAGGTCGATGCTCAACCGCTGAGCCACGCCCGGCCGGGCCCTTTTTTTTTAAACAGTTAAAATAATAAAAATATGGCAGCATCTCCATTTGTTGTAACAGGACATTTCTTACTCATTTATTCTCTTGACAAGTTTTATTGCGTGCACTGCCCTACGCCAGGCACTGAGATNAAACATTCATCAGCTGCCTCCTGCATGTCCCCCACAAGGGATCAAGCCCACAACCCGGGCATGTGCCCAAACCGGGAATCAAACCAGCGACCTTTTGGTGCATGGGATGATGCTCAACCAACTAAGCCACAACGGCCAGGGCAAGCAAAATACTTTTTAAAAGTTTATAAAAGACAATACATTGACAGATGAATAAATAAACAAAATGTGGTATAGACCTAAAATGGAGTATTATTCAGCCTTAAAGAGGAAGAAAATCCTGTCATGGTACATGGAAGAACTACCTTATGGACATTCTGCAAAGTGAAATAAGCTAGTCACAAGAAAACAAATACCGTATGATTCCACTTTTATGAGGTATTTTCAGTAGTCAAATTCATAGAAAGAGAAAGTAAACTGGTAATTGCTAGGAGGAGGGGAAAATGAGGAATTCTTTAATGGGTATTAAGAGTTTCAGTTTTGCCCTAGCCAGCTTGGCTCAGCGGTTAGAGAGTCGGCCCATGGACTGAAGGGTCCCAGGTTTGATTCTGGCCAAGGGCACGGACCTCAGTTGCAGGTATGACAACTGGCCCTGGTCGGGGAATGTGGGGGAGGCAACCAATCAATGTGTCTCCCTCACATCACATCAATGTTTCATTCTCTCTCTCTCTCTCTCTCTGTGTCCCCCCATACACACTCCACTCTCTCTGAAAAACAATGGAAAAAATATCCTCAGGTGAGGATTAAAAAAAAAAAGAGTTTCAATTTTGCAGGTTGGTTAAGAGATTAACGGAAGAGCACATATGCATAGCCCATGGACACAGACAATAATGTGGTAAAGGCCTACGGTGGGGCAGGTGTTGGCGGGGAGAGGGAAGAGGGAATGGGGGACATCTATAATACTGTCAACAATAAAATAAGTGAGAGAGAGAAAGAGAGAGACAGAGAGACACAGAGAGAGAGAGAGGGAGGGGAACAGACAAGAGTGCTAAGAACTGGAGAGAGAGAAAAAAGCAAAGAGCCAAAAACAGTTCATTGGATTTATCAAAAAGTAGCTCAGTGGTGATAGTTCCAGTTTTATGAAAAGGAATTGCATCAGGTTGTGGGGAATGGGACTGAGGAAACAGAAAGTGAATCAAACTTCATTCAAATGTCTGCCTGCCTTTACATTTATTTACCAATAACTAAATTATAACAAGAATAGCTGTAAACACACAAAGAAGATTCTATACACAAATGATAATTATTGTCTGAGATTTAGAATTGTATTTCCATAAATGCCCGAAGATAAAGACTTTTATTCTACGAGAGAGAAAAGAGTTTCAGTTCTGGCGATCTGTTGCACAACAATGTGCGTATATTGTACACTGCTGAATAGTACACTTACAAATGGTTAAGATGGTGAATTTTGTTATGTTTTTTACTACAATTTTTTTTAAAGGCAATCCACACATGGGTAAGAAAAAACTTCAGCAACACAAAAAGATATTACAAAAACAAACTTCCCAGAGGTAGTCTGGGTATAATAAGTACATAGAGTCCTCCCCTTTTTCATACAAATACTAAAGCTAGCATGCCACAGGCACTATTCTGCACCTTTAGTTTTCTCTTAACGACAGATCTTGGAGACTACTGCTGTGTGTGTATGTATCTTTTT